AAATTAATTCATTGCATTTAAGCTTTATCTGACAGAATTTAGTCACCAATAACTTATAAACTTGAAGCGGCTGCCATTTCTCTGTCTATGTGTCTGCACGTCCGTTTCTCCATTTTCATTCATAAAATGAAAATCAGAAAAACGAACGGACTTCCGTTTTTCTATTTGATTCGGAAATTGAATAATGAACACTTTTTAAAGCTGTCATTTCCTCAAAGACAGGAATATAAGGGCATTTTATGATTTATTTCACCTGTTAAACATTAGAAAAAACGAAAACGGTAGATATTTATATTTTCTACCGCATCGGGGATCTGTCGATATTGTATTTTGCATTTTATAGTAAAATATAAAAAACGAGGGCAATTTCCGTTTTTTCATTTTTCATTTTAAATGGAAAAACGAAAACTGAGTTTCATTTTCCATTACATTTTGGCCATTTCTATAAAATGAAAATGAAAAACGGCCGTTTTTTCATTTTCTGACGAAATGGAAATCACTTTGCCCCCCCATACACGGACCCTATTACCATACAATACTACATATGTCCTAAGGGATAGATAGAAAAAAACCATATAACGCTGATCGAGTCGGATAAATAAAAATATAAATAAATATAATCTGATATTCAAAATCAATATCAGTCCCTAATTTCAGATATTGTCTGTCATATCATCGTAAATCATACAGGTTACAATTCCTGTCTAGTGCATGCTTGAACGACATTTCAGGTTTAAAGCTACCTGTATTTCATTTGCGCTGTGTTATTGATCGTATTTCATCGACCCCATTACAAATACTGTCAGCTCAAAGATTATATCACCAAACCTGTAAAAAACAGTACAAATTTCACCACATACCTGTTTCTGGAAATTCCCTGAATTACAAATAATCCAACGCATCTGCTTGTGTTTCCATTTTCGCCATTGATGTTGAGAAAATACAACGTTTTTGCCTACACCTCACACATAAAGACTTCAAAGTGCGCGTGCAAATGTTGTTATTGGCATCACGTGACTTCCAATGATAGGTGAGTACCTGTTGCCGATAACGTCGTGTCACATCCCCAGAACATGTACTCTCATCAAGAGAGGGTGGGAGCAGGCAAAGATAAAAATGGAATTTTTGGTTTTATTTGGCGGATATATAGTAGTGTTTTCCATTGTAGCCTCTGTCTGTCTCTGTTACATCCAGGCGGTGGATAAATTGTTGGCACGAACTACAGAGGTACTTTTAATTTCAAAACTGAAAGTTAAGTGTACAGAAAGTAAAATAGAACTGTAGAAATGCCGGTACTTTTGTAGTATACCCCCCCCCCCCCCACCCTGTAACTTTCACTTTTCAAGCAGTTTTTTTACAGTACACTGAACAGCACGAGTTTCACAGAACACTCACAAACTCACTCTGTTGCAGATAAGCATGCTTTTGCTTTTGGTGCTCTAGGCATGGAAGTGTTCAATGTAGAAGGCCTCCCTGCGCCTTGTACATGTGTAACTCATAGCTTTTCAGCGTTTTTTTTTTAAATTCTGATGTGGTTAACTCAAAATAACAGAGACCCAAGTCACCACGTTATTAAAAAAGTCATTGAACATGAAATGTAATAAGACGGGGCTAAACAGTATTGCATAAATACTGACATGCCAGTACTTATGGCAGCTAGAAGTGTCAGTTTCTAGTTTATTCCAAAACTCTGAATGACTCTGTAAATTGAAAAGATCAGATGGAACTAAAGATAAAGTAATGTGACCTCTGAGCAAGCAAAAGATCTAAAGGGAAAGGGACAAGAGACTTAGGCTCTGTTCCCATAGATTTAAGATCGATCTATCCCCGCGGGGAGTCTCACTAGATTACTTTCAGATAATCCGACTTAAATGTCTGTCCCGCCTACTACAAGCTGTAAGGGGATAATTAACTTTCGTGTCCGCCAGGCTGACAGCTATTTAGCGTGAACCCCCAGGGAGATAGGTCGATCTAAAGTAGGTCGATCTAATCTATGGGGTGTTAGACAGAGGTTTATAATATTTTTACAAATGAACTAATCTTATAAATGCTGTAATAATTCACATGTTCTTCGAAGCTTTTAATTTATGTTTTATGTTGAAGTTTTGCTGAATTCAAACTAAAGTGATGAACAGTCAAATTACTTTGTCTGTTATGGCAGTTTATATTTTCAAGATTTAATGACAGTAAAATACTATTTCAGTTTGTGAAAGGAAGACTGTTAGTGTTCACCAAGAGACTACCATCCCCAGTGCAGCATGTAGCATTCAGAACCTACAGCTATGTATTTTTGGAAAGGTATGATTTGAAAAAGTCCAGATGAAAAACTGAACAGATAAACAAGTATATTTCTGTATCAGATTTAGTCCAGATGTTTTCATATAAGATTGACAGTATTTAAAAAAACTATTTTTTTCAATTTGATCTTTAAAAATGCTTAATTTAGTTTTGAAATTTTAGTTTGCTCAAACTGTATGCTCTAGGTGTATAAATTCTTTACTGTATTTGGAGAATTATTCTCCCTTTTTTCATGTAAACAGCAGTTCACAATATTTTCAAAAAGATTATATTATTTCAGAAATGCCCTGCTGCAGTTGTCCTACATTTTTCTGGTAGCACTTGGCCATACTGTGCTTATTAAAGATGTCATACCTCATCACCAACAGTCACACCATAATGACAGTGACAAACATAACATCTTACTCATTCCTGTGGTATTACTCCTCTCCAACGGAATCAGTTTTTACTTGGTATCAAAATCTGATCCTGGAGTAATAACAGATACAAATTTGAAATGTTACTGTGACAGATATCATTACGATGGAATATTGTATAAACCAAACAAGAAGTGCATTACCTGTGATTTTATTAAACCTGCAAGATCTAAACATTGTGGTAAGTATTTGCTTGATAGGTGCAGTTCAGTTGTTTTATTTCCTCTTTTTCTTTCCAATATCTAAAGCTAAATTGGAATAAATCTCAAAACAGTGTACACATTAGAGTTCCAAGTCACTCATTTATTCATATTTCAAAGAACCATCTTTTATTACAAACTTAATATGTTGAATGTCAAATTTTATCTTATCTTTTTTTTTACCTGAATTATTTTAGCCTACTGTAACAAGTGTATCTTTCGCTTTGATCACCATTGTTTTTGGACCAACCAGTGTATTGGAGGACTTAACTATCACTATTTCTTCGCCTTCCTGGTCTCTGCTACCTTAATGAGTGCTAATGCAGTAGTCATGGGAGTTCAGGCACTGCTAGGGATCATAGACAGTCGTGATATGTGGAACATGTTCTTCATTGATAAAAGTGGACAAAAGCAGCAGGTCACAGTTAGAATACTGTGTCAGGTAGATTTTGCATTCTGAAAGTTAATATAAAGTTTTGTTAAGTACAAAAACTTAATTAAGCATGAAAATAATAGTAAAGATTTAAAGCAAACATTTATACAGATTTACCAAGTTTTGGTTTGACCATAATGATTACTCCACTGAATTATTACAAAATAATTTAAAGTTAAACCATAATGTAAAATTTAAACCACCAGTGAGTACACATGGTCTTAGCTTTGTATTAACTATTTTTCTTACAGAATCTTTTTATGCAGTATCCAAGGACAGTTTTTATGGTGGCATCTCTCTTTGCAACAAGCGTGTTTCTTCTTGGCTTAACCAGTTACCATGGATACCTAATATTGACTAATCAAACCACCAATGAAAGATACAAGACAGTTGAAGTGACAGATAGAAATTTGATAAAATCTAGAAACCAGCCATACAACAGAGGAGTATGGTGTAATTTAACTGAAATATTTTGGTCATCATATTCAAGGAAAAGGAGGAAATTTCGGAAGTGAAGGAAATAATATAAATGTATGCAGGAGCAATCATTAAGTCACTCTAATACTTAAGCTTACAGCAACACTTTATTGAACACTGTGAAACTTACAATCACGCTCAGCTAAGCTCAAGTTACTGGTTCTTATTTTTCGCCTCTCCCCACTCCTCCTCAACACCCAGCACCTTTCTCTCTCCTCTGCCTCTTGCCTCAGTTGTCTTTCAATGAAATGTCTGCATGGCCACTGGCACTAATCCAGAACAAAACTGTCTGCCCGTGGAAAATACACAAAAGAGTACAAAAATTGTCTTTTCAACCCCTTCCTTGAACGTAGTTATCAACACAGCAGCTGTCATGGCCACCCATGGCTGGTTTATACAAAAAATGGGAGATCAACTTTACACTTTTTACTTTTCATGGAGACATTCTCCATCTCCTTGCCCCCCTGACAAACAGTCTCACACAAAATGGTGAGTACTGCACATGCTCACCAGTTAGTGGAAAAGGTCTGTTAAGCTTAATTGCACCACATGCACAGAATTTAGAAGTCAAATATTCCCCAGGATGCATTGAACCTTTATATCAAGGAATTAGAGAAAATAGTCTTTGTTCTGTCCATATCCATGCTTTTTGCTTATGTAAGTTAAAATTCCCTCAATGGTGAAATGAACCAACTCAAATTCAGAATGAATATTTCAACATGGGCAATCATTCCTAAAACTGATTACAATTCAGCCCATTTGATGCCAGATACAGCTTATGTTGTCAGTCCTACTGCCCCCATTTTGTGCACATACTTGCCAACTTGACACGTAGGAGGAAAATGGATGCAACATGCTTACATGTGCTACAGGTATGTGGACCCATCCCACTGGGACACTCACAGTGACTGTCCACAGGCTCACCCTCCCTTCCAAGTTTCAATTTGATGTTGTAGCTCACCTATACATTGAAATAACAGAATCTTCTCTGGGTCAGGTCTGATTCCTTCTACCCCTACAATGATTCCATTATAGGTGACACTGGTTTATTTCAAGCTTTTTCTTTGAATTAAAACGAAATTGTTCTCCACTGCACATTTGATAACCTCTTCCAGGATCTGGCCATGTTCTTCTACTGTCTCTGTTGCGATCAATGTATCGTCTGTAATAGCACATATGTTTCTGATATCACCAAACACACAGTACACATTCTTTTGTAAAATATCTGTAGCACTGATGATCTCAAAAGGCATACATTTAAATTGATACTTTCCAAAGGTTGTCAATTCTGAGCTAGGGTCATCTAGTAACACGTACCTAGTAATAAAAATATTTTGAGGTCAATGATGGTGAACATTATATTTCCTTGTAGCTGTGTGCTGCTATGTGATTCTGATTGGATAATATTAGTACAAAGGTGGCATGTCCTCATGTACATCAATTCATATTTTTCCCAGGTGTACTCGGACATTCCATTGACACAATGCTCTCAAAATTTCCACACCTGGAAAATGCTACCGGTCTCCTCCTTTTCCACTGTTGCTATGCTTCTTGCAAATTTAGTCACCTTTTTGTCACTAACATAACTTGCTCCCACATCAAGACCCTTTGCTGTATCCAATTTACAAAGTAATGTAAACATTTTATAACTTACATGGTATGTGAGCATTGCTAAAAAGAATGTTCAACCAGTATGTCTTGTGAGCCCTGAGAGATTGCAGTGTCCTGCCAGCCTGAGATTCAGCACATTCAGAAGCCTGTTTTTTGACTTAGAAACATTAACATGTTTTGCAATAGTACCAATGCGTGCAAGGATGCTTATTCAACAACTTCCTTCTTTTCTGCCATGCTGTAGTTCCTGTATTTACCCCATTTGGTAGGGATATTAACTGTCTCCATATCACCAGTCTGCCCTGAGTGACTGCAACCTTCTTAGGCCATATAACTGGTTGCCTCTGTGGTCCTTGTGGCAAGGGTTCCATGAGCCAATGTGCTGGGAAGGTGTTTTGCACATCTGAGGTCTTGCTAAAAAGCATTTAAAAACACAAAGATTCGGGCTAACAAAACTTTGCCATTTATTATAAAGTCATAGTCACAATCCCCCTGTAATAGTTCTTTGGGGTGCTTAAGGAGGCAATTTGGGGCTTTTTTCCCTGGGATATTACAACTAAGCAGGCCATTGTGATTTTCCATGGTTAGTAGAAGGTAATCTCTTGGTTGGGGCAACTGAGATGACTGGTCCTGAAGATGTAGGCCCAGGTCTACAAATTCATTCTCCCAAATTCCATCCTTGACTTTGTTAACAACCTTGGCGTGTGGAGGGATGGACTTAATATGGTATCTATTTGAAGTTGAGGGTTGGGAGATACCATACCTGAGTCAGCTGGAGAGGAAGCAGATGGCAGTACGGGAGCCTCAGGGCTTTTGATTTGTCCAATCCAGTCTGTCTCTAGCTTGGCACCTTTCCGCCCAATCTTGTGGAAGTTTTTCTCCAACACTTTCATTCCCCTTTCTAATTCAAATACTGTTATATTCCTTGATCTCTTTGGTTTATACTGCTTTTTGTATGTGCCTGAGACTTTTTAACTTTCTACATGTACTTTTCGCATAATTCTGTGAGTTGCTGCTGTTGAGATTCTACCTGCTCATCATAGTCCACTTTGCTGGGCATTGTGACTTCTTAGTCTGTGTCTTCTCAGCCTCCTTAGAAAAAAAGGAGAGTATCCAGTGGCACAGTGTGGGGCTGTCTGATAAGCAAAAGATTACTGAGTCTAAGTACCTTTCCCAGTTATTCTGCTTCTTCAGCATTTGGTTCATTGCAAAATTCTGATCCCTGGTAATTCAACAGTTTTTCAGGGGTACCCATCCTGTAAAAGAAAGAGGAAAGAACCTTGACAACACTTGCAGCTGCATCTTTAGATGGGATTGGGAATGTTTTCATCAGCTTGGTATAATAGTTGGAATGAGTCAAGACGTATCTGTTTCTGTTCTCTGACAAAGGCAAAGAGCCAATCAGGTCACTGCCAACCATTTCTTACTTGCCGACAACTTTGATTGACCGCAACATTGGTGCTTCTGTTTTATTCTTCTCTGTGTGCTGGCATATTGTCACACATCTTGATTCATTTGTTAGTGTATTCATGCTTTTCCAATAGAAGCAGTTCTCAATTTTCCCAAGGGTGTTCTACTGCCAGAGATGGCAAATACAACAAGCTTCCGTACACCATTATTGATGTAGTATATCTCTAAACCTTCACACATAAAGTTCTTTGCCATTCTCTTAACTGATACCCTGGCAATCCAGCTGGCATCCTCTTTCCTTTCTCGAAGACATTGAAACACATCTGCTTTGATTACCAAATTGTGCTTCTAATTCAAAGACTGTTACTTTCCTTGCTTCATACTGCTCCTTGTATCTTGCTCGAGGCCTTTCTATTTTCTTCTACTTCTCATGTAACTGTGAAATGCTGCTGTTTAGATTCTTCCTGCTCATTGTAGTCCACTATGCTGGGTGAAGTAATGATGAATATGTTACAACATTTAAGGGTCCCTGAAAATGTGCACTGCCCCCAGTCTTGGATCCGTGGCCATTCAGACCATAGTCTCTTTAGCTTAACTGATTAACTGGTACCACTTACATTCTTTATGTCCTGCTTGCTATTCCAACACCACTGACATTCTGGCTTATCAATAGCCACACCTCAAGCTTAGATTTATTTTCTAAGCTTGATGAGGTTGAGGCAGTCTTGATATTTTGTTCTTACTCTAGGTACCACAAAATTTGGAAAAAAATTTGATAACCATTTTACCTTTAGAGTTCTTCTGTACTTTTTAAAAGTTAATGGCAAGACACTACCTAGCTGAAAATTTTGGAAAATGTTGTAATTTTTTTTATTTCCTGTCTATCAACTTTGCCAGTCTGCTGCTTTATAAATGTTTGGCGTAACTCTGATCTGGGAATATTGTTTTAAGGCTCAAATTCTAATTGATCAACTTTCCATTAAATTATTAATTATTATTTAATGTTATAAAGTAAAATATTGACATTTGTCAAAACAGAAGTTAAGCACACAATTTCGGACATGATGAACAATAATGTTTCTTCCATAGAGTAGTTTGTTAGGCATTTTCATTTTCTTTGTCATTTTATAGCTTAATTACAAACTGTGTGTATGCACATAAATGGTGGAAATGTACAGGTTTCTGGTATAAAGGTAACTTCTCTGTATTTCATATTTAAAGGTTATAATAAAACATGTTTCTGAAAAGTTAGATTTGACCAAGCTGCTTAAGGATGAGGCAGTTACAAACCTACTCCATGTTCAGGAAGAAGAGTGGTTTTTCAATGACCTGTCTAGCTAGATGGATTCACTACTTTTGTCTTTCATGTAACAGTGTGCTTTTCTTATTATTTTTCTTTACACTTAAGACTATTATAATAATGGAAGGTATTTCCTGTTGTGGTTTGAGCACTTGCTTTTTTCTTGGGGCAGAATAAAATGTTCATAAAGTTACAAAAACAATTGTTTTAAAAGACGGTAACCTTTTCTTTGCAACTTTGTTGAAATGTATTCTTTGATTACAGAAATATAAACAAAGTAATTCCAAGGTTTGTAAAAATGGTTTTATTACACACAGTTATCCAGAAGACAAAGATCAAATATTTCAGCACAATTTTCTTTAAATTTGCCATCATAATTTATTCTGAAAAAAAAAAAAAAAAATGAAATAGAAGAATGGTCTTTGTAAACAATCTCTCTTCTGAATTCCACTTCATAAATGTGAGGTAAAAAAACACTTCCATAACAACAATATAACAAAATGTAAAGTGCATGTCACTTAATTTAAATGCTGATTTACACGTACTTCTCTATGGCACTATCAATCTGGACAAAGCAGATGGAGAAGGTAAAGGAATTACATGAAAAAGAAAGCAGATGGAATGCTCGGCATTTGAAAGGTAAAACAAATTTACTTCTGGGGGGGAAAAAGGTAATAAACTAATAAACAGGTTTGAAAATATACTGAGTATAACACCAAGCAAACAATAATTACAACTACAAATCCATTACACAAACAAATACAAATCTAAATGCCTTAACTATATCTCTTGCAACCTTACCCCTGAGCATTTTTAGTATAATAATTATATTATATATGTGCACAAACAAATAACTGATCCTCTTATACAGAAAACCAATAGGTTTTAAAATTGTACATCAGATCACTTCACAGCCCTTCCTCAGATGGTGAAATAGCATCAGGAAAACTGTAATTTATAAATTCTTTCCACAGAGTCCAGTACTGGGATCACTCTATCATAAAAATCCATGATAAATAGCCAAAAATTTTAGCCCCATAAAGTTTCTGACATCAAACAGTCATATTAAATTTTCATGACTTTTAGAAAATATTTATTAATGAATCTGCAATCAATAAAAATAAATGACCTTTGGTATATGCAAAAAAAAAAAAAAAAAATCATGCTCGATGTTAGTAAGGTATAGAAATTAGGCAAATTTGTGTAAGATGTAGTGAGCTTCAAGGCTAACAACACTAATGTTCACATCTCACCTAGGCTAAGATCACAGTGATAGCTAACAAAATAATTTTGAGTATCTAAACAATCCAAATATCCTAATTACTTAAAGAGATCCAGATCAAATTCATCAAAAGAGACATAAAAAGTGAACTCAATAACGTGCTGGCGGTACTGATGATGGCTGGACACAAAGGCTTGACAGGTTTAATAACTGGACATTCTTTAGTTAACAGCTGTATGGGGTTGTGGCGGACTGCCACATCTGACTGTTCACAGAACCCTTCGGTAACCTCAAATGACTTGGGCACAAACACACTGGAAATAGAAAAAGAGTGAAAGGTACTGGGTCTGGCTTCCCTTATAAACAAATCCTCTTTTTAAAGTCGACTGATAATGAAATTTGAACCATTATAATAATATTAAATAGACAAGCTATGTACATGAAGCTAATTTCAACATTGCCTAACATTCTAGAAATGTCCACCTGCAGTTATTTTCTTATAAAACATTATCCTAGGGCGCATTCCCATATATTTTAGATCAATCTATCCCTGTGGGGAGTCTCACTAGATTACTGTCAGATAATCTGGCTTAAATGTCCGTCCCGCCTACTACAAGCTGTAAGGGGGTAATTAACTTTCGTGCCCGCTCGGATGACAGCTATTTAGCGTGAACCCCCAGGGAGTTAGGTCAATCTAGTTGGATCGATCTAATCTCTGGGAATGGGGTCATATACTTGATTTACATTAATAAATCAACATAAAAAA